TAAATTTGAGTGTCCTCTTAATAATTATAGTAATTATAGTAAATACAATAAGAGCATAGAGAATAACTCAGTGAGTGACGAAAATAATTCGAAGGATAAATAAAGCTTTACAAGTGTCGCATTCTAAAAACTTAGCTACAAAAAACTAATTCATAGACTCTGGTGCAACTATACATCTATCAAATAAGAAAAATTGGTTTCAAAACTACAACGAAAAAGAAATGTTGCAAGTGCTCAGACACTTAATGCGTATTGGAAATGTAATTGTCTCTACAAAGGATGCTACAAAAAGAATTTCCAATGTGATCTATCTTCCTGACTTGAAAATTAATCTTCTTTCTGTAAATAGAATGATAAAAAACGGTCATACAGTAGTTTTCAATTCAACAGATTGCCAGTTCTATGACTCAGAAGATTGCTCAGTCTCCGGAAAAATTATCGTCACAGCATCACAACGGTTTGCATCGTTTAGATACTTGCCAGATCGCAAATCTTGTGATGCAGACAGATAATGAGAAACTCTAGGTATAAAAGGAGCACCTTAATCGTGAGTATGAAATTGCTAAAGCAAGATTTAACTACTGGAATATCTTGGTAATAAGAAAAGTAAGCAATAAATTGCTTATTTGAAAGATAAACATAGAAAACCTTTCAAAATTTGATTGCTAAAAAAGCTACTAAATTATTAAAAATTTTCCACTCGGATTTGTGTGGCCAGAATATTGGAGCGGTAAAAGATATAAGAAAATAAAAGAAATATATTCTTACATTCATTGACGATTTTTCTAGAAAAATTCACGTATTTTTTCTTACCTCCAAAAATGAAATATATTCCTCGTTCTGAGAGCACATAGTAGAAAATGAAACTGATCGAACAATACTCTACGTACTGACAATGAACGAGAAAACATAAAGAATTTGCTTCTTATCTGAAGTCTAAAGGTATCAAGCATCAGCTTACAGTCCCATACCGGAGCAAAATGGTGTAGCAGAACGAATAAATCGGACAATTGTCGAAAAAGCTCACTGCATGATGCAAGATGCGAGTATAGATCAAAAGATGTGAGTTGAAACTGTGAATACTACAGTCTACCTTAAAAATCGTTCTCCTCATAAAGCAGTTATAGGAAAGAAAGCCTGAAGAACTTTGGACCGGCAAGAAAGTTTACTTAAGTCATTTAAAAATGTTCGATTGTTTGGCGTATGTTCATATTCTCAAAACTCAAAGAAACAAGTGAGTCGCCAAAAGAAAACCAAATATTTTTGTAAGTTATTATGAAGATACAGAAGGATATAGATTGTTTAAAAGAAAGGGAAAATTATCAAAGCACAAGACGTTGTCTTTTTAGAAGACCAGTTTTATATCAATAAGGAAGAAATTAAAGAAGATATAGACATAAATATTGTTCAAATTAATTTGACAGAAAAAGAAAAACAGAATGAACATGCACAGAATTTTTAATGCTAGCCCAAATATTGATTCAGAAATTAAAGAAATTTCCGAATAAGAAAGTTATCCTAAAGAAAAAGAAGAAATTGAAAACTTTAATAATAAAAATATTAGAACAGAAGTTGAAATTGGAGGATATGAAGAAGTCGGAGAAGAGGAAAAGAAGAAGAGATATTCTAGCAGAAACAGGAGCAGCAACAAATTTCCAGATTTTATAATATATCATACAACTCAGAAACCGAACGATCCCAAAATTTTTGATGAAGCCATAAAACGAGAAGATAGTTTCCAATGAAAACAGGCAATGAAAGAGGAGCTTGAGTCAATGGCAAGCAACAAAGTTTGGTTACTGATAGATCCTCCGAAGAACAAGAAAATAGTAAAAAATAAATAGGTGTTTCGCATCAAAAGAAATTCTGCTGGTGAGATTGTCAGATATAAGACTCGACTCATGACGAAAGACTTTATACAAAAATTTGGCATTGATTATTTCGAAACTTTTTCGCCTGTAGTAAGATATTTGAATATAAGATTGTCAATTGCCTTTTCTGCTGAAGTATGTTTAGATATAAATCATTTAAATGTGGACACGGCCATTCTGAGCTATCGAAAAACATATACCATACATATTTCAACCCAAAGGTTTTGTAGATTGAGATAACAAAGATTAGGTGTTTGTTAAGGCAATATATGGCTTAAAACAAATAATTTCTAGATTATGGAATAAAAAGGTTCAAAAAGTACTATTTAAATTTGGTTTCAGAAGTACAAGTTTGAAGCACGTATATATTTCAAAGCTACAGTTTTCTCTCATAATTATTGCATTGTATGTTGATGATTTTCGTATGTTTTCTAATAATAGCTCTGAAAAGAAAAAAATTGAAAGAACAATTGATGAGAAATTTTGAAAGATTTGGGATTAGACCTAGAAAAGATGCCTAGGATTAAACATTGAAAGAAATCAAAATGTGAATGAGAAAGATTATATTTTAGAGTTACTTTTAAAATTTAGTCTTACGTCAGAAGCGAAATTAGTCTGAATTCTTATGGAAGTAAATGCAATGCTAAATTGTACTGACAAAGTAAATACTGATGTGCCTTATTAGTAATTAATAAAAGTTTTAATGTATTTAGTTATAAATTCGAGATCTGATATCCGATATTGCTTATGTAACTAATTATTTAAGTCAATTCAATGTTCCTCATATTGATCAGCACTAGAAAGCAACAAAAAGATTTTTAAAGTATTTAAAAAATACATTGATTATTGTTTAACATGTAAAAGAACGACTAATATGCATATTACAGGCTTTACAAATGCTGATTTGGCGAATGATTCTAATAATCGAAAATCTTACAGTGGTTTCGTCTTTATGTTAGCAAATGGACTCATATCTTGGAAAGTTCGCAAACAGTGCACGGTAGCGCTTTCTAGTACAGAAGCGGAATATGTTGCTATCTCTGAGTCAATAAAAGAGGTAATTCACTTAAAAGGCTTGTTAAGTGAATTAACAAAATATAACGAGCCTATAGTAATTTTTAATGATAATCAAAGTGCTTAAAGGTTAGCATCTAATCCAGTTTTCACAATAAAACTAAACACATAGATGTTAATATCATTTTATCAGAGAAACTATTAAAAATAAACAAATAATATTTAAGTATGAATCTACTGTTAGAATGATAACAAACATTTTTATGAAATCATTAAGTAACGCCAAACATCTTTTTTGTCTTACAAGATTTAGAAATTGGGTACAATCAATAAAATATTATTTTTACTCACTAGATTACGGGGGAGTGTTAATAATCTAGTGAGTTCATGCAGATGTCATGACTGTGTGAGAACACTGGAAGGAGCATGCGTGTGGTGTATGAAGCATGTATGTAGTGCACAACATTAATGTTTTCTTTTGTTTAGTTGCTAAGGTATGCTCTTTTGTTTGCTCCCTTTTATTTTAATTGTTCTTTGCTTCTAAGGTTTAATTCATCACAATAAAATTATCTTGCTAAAACTTGACTCTAACATAAAGGTGTTAACCAGTTATTTACAACACTTATGCTTTAAGTTTTTTTTATGTGCCATGGCCTTTAAAGTTAAAGATTATTCAGATTGGGAAATCTGTCATATCGAGAGCATAGAGAGTTACACAAATTCTCAGCTTTAAAAATATTCTGCAATTTTCTGCTTTAAAAACACATTATTTTCTATATATTTTTTGTTTATAGATTACAGTTTGTAGAGAATTTGTTTTTAAAGCAGAGAATTCGTGTAATTTTTTGAAGCAGAAAATACTTATTCTAACCTCACTTATATGTTGTAATGTCCCTCTATGTCATTGATGTGACAGATCTCCTAATCCAAATAGTCGTCAACTTTAACAATTAATAAGTATTACGATTCATAAGACTGAACGACATTACTGCGAGATCTTTTCATTTTATGCAAAAATGCATCGAATAAGCCTAATTTTATTGATTTTTGAGGTGATGAAGTTAAACTGTATAATTACCAGAAAAAGAATAAAATAGTTGCTTTCCATTTACACACAAGTGAAACTGAGTCTGAAGTGAGCTGAGTATTTCATATTCAGATTAATGATATCATTATTTCCTTATTTTAGTTATCATTATCAAAAAGTTATCACAACATAATATGATATAACACAGATTCATAACCTCTTTTAAAGTGAGTTGCGAGACTCACTAAAGCACACGGTCTCGATATTGTGCATATTATAAGCAAAAACTCAGTTAAATCTCATTTATCAGAATGCAAAAAGAATGCGCATTCAACTGAATTATGATGTCACAAGTGAGAATTATCTGACAATCGGTGTGGAATGGAAAGCAACTAGTGTATATAAAAAAAAAACAATTTTTCTCCCTCTACAATTAGTTATAACATCGAAATTACATTTCAAAATTAATATTACACAATTTTATTGATTTAAAGAGTCATTTCCTGGAAAACTTTATTTTTTGATGTTATATCATGGTTGTAACAAATGACCGATATGTTGAATGGTTCTTTACCAAAATGACACTAGTGAAAATTTTTCTCAAAATTTTTTGTACAAATTAAAACACTTCTTCTAGAAAATTAACACCTTTTCTTAGAATTTTTCATATTTATATATAAATAATTATATATAAATATTCAAATATTGTAAGATTTTTCATACTATAATTTCTGAAAAAAATACCTTGAACTTATTCAGATTTTGTAAGATTTTATCAAAAACTTTAAAATGAAAAATCTTAAAATTTCAGTATTTACATATAGAATTCTAGAAAAGATGTGGGCTTCTGATATTTCTGAAGTGCTCCAATTTGTATTTTAAAAAATCTAAAATTTTTTTTAAAGTTACAAAATTATTCAAATATTCTGAAAAATTTTAAAATTTATATAAAAACTCTGAAAAACTCTAAGAAAAACTCTAATGAAAAATTCTAAGAAAAATTTTACCAGGAAAGCGACATAAAAGAGAACAGTTCCATCAAAACGAAAGTTGTGTTCATCCAATTACTGATTTACAGTACTACCTACTTGACTTTTCTCTCTTCTGCTTTTCCAGGTTTGGTACGCTGGGCTCTATCACCCATACGAGTACCATCCAATTTTCCCACAAGAGACATAACCTCACCGGTGGCTTCATCTCGGCTGCGTCTTTCTATTAATCGGACATCAGCTTGTAAAACGAGATTGGAATTCTGTAAATATTAACGCAATATAATGCAACAAAATCGCATAATAAATACAACACACCGTAAATGTAACGTCATAAATATCATGTAAGTTGCACATTAAAAATTGCACATTATAAAAAAGTTAGCATAGTAAAATAATTAAAAACAACTATTATGTCATCATTAAAAAATAAACAATTAAAAATGAGAAATACAAACCGCTTTATACTCGTATTGTAATTGACGTGCAGCAGCGTCCGCCATGACTTGTTTATTAGATGCGTTCAGTTAGTTCAGTACGACCTGCACTGAGCGCTCAGTGAGCTCTTGCATTTAATTGGCACATTCTAATAGATCCAAAAATATAGACCAAACAGATGAGCGGTGTAGTATTGAATTATCCCTTGTATCTGTTTGGTCTAAATTTTTAGGCTACGTTCTGTTTCATGTATGATGCGCATGATGCATTAAGGTAAGTATTCATGGTGTCGCTCGTCGCTCATATTCAGCGACAAACTCATTTTCAGCGTCAAAATAAGTCACTTGATAGAAACTGACAAATATCAAGCGTCAATTTTGATCACGTGACCATTTTGACGCTGAAAATGAGCGTCGAGCGTCAGCATAAAAAGGCATTTAAAGGCACCTAGTATTTTATAGCTGACAAATTTCTTAACCTCAATAATTGTTAACTTTAACGCTTGATATCTTTGATTTTCGGAGCAGAGCGACGCTTATTTCCGCCAGATTCTTTCGTTTCATACAAAAACACGTCGAATAAGTCTAATTTTATTGATTTTTTAGCTGCTCTAGCTAAACTAATTATTCCCATTTTTTAACACATTAAAATAATATAAACTAATACATTTGTCTTTAAATATAAAATGAGAATTAATCTTCAAAAAAATTTCAAGCAGTTTTGTAGGTCACAGCATTTCTTGCTACATACATTAGTACGTACTATTATTTGCAATTTTTAGTACATTATTACATAGTAATAAATTATGTAATATTCATAATTTATATAAAGTATTGTTTATTTAATAATAATAATAATAATAATATTTGTAATAGCCTACAAAAACACCAAAGAAAAATATAATCAACACGAGATTATTTATACCAGAACCAGAATATGACATAGATTTTGTATGCAATCCTGCAAACCGTGATATTATTTTCAGTAATATTAAAAGTCGAAAAGGTATTGGAGATATTGATAAAGTTCTCGAATATTCTGGCAATGCTGAAAAGCGAGAATTGCTTTTGCAAGAATTAAGTAAAATACCAAATTGTACACATCCTGTAGTAATTGAGTATGGAGATGAACCAAGATTGCTAAAGAAATGTGGCAGAAAACCACAATTTGACTTTGAGCCACAAGAGTTTGCTGAACTTGCCACTAATTTAAAAGCAATAAGAACCCATACACTCGGTCCTGTTACTGGACAAAGAAGCTATATACTTTTAGGAGATTTAGCAGAATTGGAAGAAGCATTAGTTCAGTATACACTTAGAAAATTGATGAAGCATGGATTTAAATTATTGTCAGTACCTGACATCATTCTTACTGAAATAATCGAGAGATGTGGTTTAATAGTGAATAATAATCGGACTTTGGTATACAATTTAGATTCTCATTATGATGACAATTATAGTTTATCTGGAACTGCAGAAATGTCATTAGCTAGCAAATTGATAAATACTATAATTTCCTATGACACACTACCAATGAAATTGGCCGCTGTCAGCCGATGCTATCGTGCAGAGGGTTCAGGTTCTCTAGATGAAAGAGGAATCTACAGGCAAGAGATTACATTGTTATTAAGATTAACATATAAATTTTAAATTTTTTTTAATTGATTTTATTTTTCAACTTAATATTGTTTGTACAGAGTTCATCAATTTACTAAAGTGGAAATGTTTGTTTGCTCCAAACCGAATCAATCTGAAAAAGTGTTTCAAGATCTTCAAAATATACAGGAAGGATTGTTCTCTTCCTTAGGATTGCACTTTCAAATAATGGATATGCCATCACTTGATTTAGGTTCATCAGCTTATAGGTAATGCATTATGGATAATTATATTCCTACATTTATATACAAGGTATTCCATTTTAAATGACAAGATCAGGACAAGATCATTTTGAATTTTTTTAATGGAACCACTCATTTTTCATTTATATGTAGTGTATATACGCACGCACATGTGTGTAATGCACATGCGTATGTCATGTGTAGTGTGACACACATGCACGCGCGTGCGAAAAATACTTAATGGAAAGATATTTTATTATAAAGCTTCGAAAAGCTCTCGAGATAAGTTACAAAAATATGTAATAAAAAATGGGAGGATCTATTTAAATAATTCAAAATGTCTTTGTCTTGATTTTGACAACACCACTCAAGATCAAATCAATAGTACCATATTATATCTCCCTCGAAAATTTTCGTCTGAAACATTTTTCTCTCAAATGAATTCAAGAGATATTAGAGGCAGTTATTTAAAACGGGACACTCAGTATATTTATATTTTTTACAAATGTAATTTTTTTTTTGTTTTAGAAAATGTGATATGGAAGGTTGGATGCCTGGAAGAAAATTGTATGGTGAATTATCCAGTTGTAGTAATTGCACGGATTATCAGTCAAGACGTCTCAATATTAAATATAGGACGAAAGATGGAAATACAGCTTACGTGCATACACTAAATGGAACTGCGTGTGCGATACCTCGCATGTTAATCGCATTGTGCGAAACATATCAAACAAGACATCATCGTATCACTGTGCCAAATGAATTGGTGCCTCTGATGAAGGGTAAAACACTCATTAAAAAGCAACCAATCGCAGATATGAGAACTTACAAATATAAACAAAAATTAAATGTAAAAGAAAAAGCTGAATAAAGTATAAATATTGCAACTGTGTTGCTTATGAATGAATACTGTGATCGTAGGTTGAACACATTTCTTTTCTAGATCAAATCCTTAAAAAGCATTATCTTTCAATAATTAGAATGTTATCATGCAATTTTTTTTCTTGATATTTGTTCATTCTATTGTAAGAAAGTATTATAAGGAATTGTTACCAAAACTCAAAATATTAAACACCACCTGTCAGTATATTTTCTATAAACTAATACAATATTATACAAAGAAAGACAGGGATCCGAAAATTGTACGTACACAGGAATAAAGATTTTTTTTGTTATAATTTCTTTGTTATTCTGTATATATTTTGTAGCGGAGTTATAAAAATGTAACACAAAATATTTTTTCTTAAAGTAATACAATTCAAAGACGTTGCAAATTTACAGTACCTCCACACTGATTGGATGTTAGTGTTTAGTCCTTATTGATAATTTAAAAATTTTCTATTCTTTTGAATACTTAATTCATTATGGAGTTCCTAACATTGACTTTTATTTATATCTTATTTATATTTTGTTTTTCAAGAATCCGTATGCCTTTTCCGATTGATATTATTCTTGATCTATCTTGAAATTTTAGGACTATCGTTTTTTTGTCACTGGCAATGATGCGTTTTCCTGTAGAGAAAAAAAATGCTGTAAAATAGCCATAAAATATCATGGCTAAATATATAATGACTAACGGACAATTGTTCATGCGTCATTATTAACAAATGTATTGTTCTAGACATTACATATAAATGAGAAGAATCGGACATTTCGGCTTCGTTTGAGCTATCATCAGCGATGTCCTATGTATGCAATGTCTATTTATATGTAACGCCTAGAACAATATACTCATTATTACGCACGAACAATTGCGTTGATTATTGTTCTCGTTGGTCACTTTATTTTTTATTCTTTTTTATCTCGAAAACTTTATTTTACTTTTATATTAATTCTATAAATTATAGTATAAGGTACAATAATATAAATTCCTCATGGATTTTGTATCAACTTTTGTAAAAAGTTACTTGAATATCTAATCCTCTTCTTCTCCTGATTCAGATTCCTCTTCAGCATTCTGTAACCACTCCACAAATTTTTTCATTTGGTCTAGAAAGAGCATTTTTCCCTTCACGGAATGCCCTTCTTTGTACCACTTCAATATTACATCTTCCGATACAACTTCCGCTAAAAATCAAACATTTGATTCTTCATAACAAAATTATTTACTGCAATATCTAATTAAATTATATTTACAAATTTATAATATATGTATTATTATATATAAAATCTTAGGTTTGTAATATAACATATATATATACACACATATATACACATACTTTTATAAAAGAGTAAAACAATCTTTTGGAAGACTTTCATAAAATTCATGTTTTCATAACAGAACTCTTGGACTTTGAGGATGAGTGCAAGCTCAGATCTGGCAGTGGTTGTAAAAGCACCGAACAGTGGAGTATAAACTTTTAAATGTTTCAGTGCTTGTTCAGCGACTAATTCTTCTTTCTTGTTCCATTCAGCTTGGCCCATTACGACAACCCAAATCTATAAACAGTAAATAATAAAAGTACTTTTATGTGTCTTAATAAAGTGCAATCTAATGTAATGTCTTTCATCGGCCTATTTTCTGCTAAATCATCCAAGAGAAGTTGTTGCAAATCCCGCTTAGCTTCTTGACTGGCTTGAGCCTTGTGTAATTTGACGATATCCGCCAAGCCTACTGCTTCGAATACAGACCGGAAGTGTTCCTCTGTTCGTTTATTCGGTGGTACAAACTCCATCAACCTACAAAATATACGAATGGAATCACATAAACAAGACAGCGAGTATACGAATTGATTAGAATATTGAAAGAATTTCTTTAAATTGTATATAATAATTAATATATTATAGCTTTACCTTCCCTCAATACCGCCTTTCTTCAGAGCTGTCATTAAACTAGATAAACCCTTCTCCTGTTTCCAAGTAACAAAGACTTCCAGTAGAAAGTCTAATGCCAAATTGTCCTTAACAAGATGTTCATTTATCAGGACTGAGAGTACCGTGGGTGGTACAGAACCATTCGAGATCCATAGTGCTGTCATCCTAGCTAACTTAATTCTTTCTTTAGGTGAAAATCCTTTCATGAAAACTAATACTTTCTTCATTTCTTCCTCAAACATTTTCTCCAGATATTTGTAACGCCGCATGAGCTTGATAAAGACCTGTTTATTCAAATAATATTTATACTTTGTTGAATCAAAATAATTAAGATATGATTGCGCACTAAAACATTCGAACATTCGCGTATATAAAATTAATTTGTCACAAATGTGATTGTGTTCGGAGAGTTCCAAGATGTTCGGATTTTCAATACATTCAATCTGAGACGCTAGTAATCCTCCTAAATTAAATTCAACAGAAAAACTATAATATACTGCGAAAAATATTCAGCCAGGGTTCAAACCTGGGATTTCTCGACTTTCAAAAAAAAATTTTTATTTTGATAGACATGCAATGTCCCCAAAACAAACTCAACGAAATCTAAAAAAATAAGACAATATCCTGAAATGTTAAGTTACTGAAATTTCAGACATGTGAAAAATAAGACAATGTCCCGAAATGTCAAGTTATTCGATTTAGTTATTTAAAACAGTGATAAAAATTTAAAATAAAATACTTGTTATATTTATTTTTTACCTGTTCAAAATTTCGCATAGACTCCATGTCCTCTGGCTGTTCAAAAACACATGCACTAGTTTTAACTGGTTTGTCACCATCTTGAGCAATGGAACCACCAGGAACTAAAAGGCCTCCAGCTATCATGATGTCAAATAGTGCCTCTCCATATCGACGATAGTCCAACTTAGAACCAGCCGCGTCCAAAAATTTAGAAATTGCTTCTAAGTCGTTACCAGCTTTCTCCAAACCAAGCAAAACTGCATCTCGAAATCCAGTTGGGTCATACTTTTCTCTTTCATCTATAAATTTCATCAAACAGCTTTGTGAGTATAAGATTTTGAAAATTTATTTTTAAAATTTTACATAATAAATGACAATTGATTTTTACCTCTTTTTCTGGTCTTTATGCGTTGACCTGATAGTATCGGTTTTTCTATTTTTTGACTCATACAATACCCTTCTGAAAACATTATATAGATAAATGTAATTTATTTATGATATTATTTCTTTTATATTGAAGACTTTTCCAAGAACAATAATTAATTACGGGACAAAATTTCAAAATATTTTAAAAAAGGTTTGCGAGAAACGTGCAAATCCTTGAGATTACAATATCCAATGAATATTTGCAAAAAACAGGCAAACGCTCGAATTCTTACATTCAATATGAATCTATTACGGTAAATCTTCAAAAATGTAAGCTGAAGCGCAAGAAAACATGTGTTTGACATAATTACGCTGTAACATTTTAACTTTGGAATCATTAAAGAGTAAGATAAGTAATATGATAAATAACGACGAGAAAAATAGTCTATGTCTAGCGTTGTTGTCGGGTATCTGTAACAAGCAAGACCAGGGGATTACATATATAATGCTAGAATGGCTAATTCGGAGGTTAAGATCGCGCGCGATGCGTAACCACGACGATGGCCGAAGCCATTAAATGTAACTCGAGGAAATCCGGCGAAGTGTGTGCGACAAATCTGCCAACTCTCTCATAGCTGATGTTTCCCGCTCGTTGCATTACTTACTTTGAAGCACGTACAAATTTTAGAACAATCTCTCCTGTGCGAGCGTATATAACCAACGTGAGATGTTTTAACGAAGACACTCGCTCTCGATCGAGGTCAGCAAAATCAAAGAGACTCGGACAGAGAAGAAACAATGGTTAACGAATTAGTAGACGACAAACCAACAGATCAATTTTCACATGATGAAAGAAACCCAGGTGTACTCGTACTCGAGACGAATTTCGTACGGTTCTGCGCATATATCAAATATAGGATGCATTCCGAACAGTGTTACCAGATATCAGCAAAGAAATTTTCCTGTTAGCATATGAAAATCTCCTTAGTTTTCCCTATTTCTCTTTAAATCTCTTAAATTTGTTTTTTTCAAATTTCAGTTTTTGGCACAGACGAAATATTATTAAAAATCGACATCCTTACAGAAGTTCGCATCTTTGTGAATATTGAAGAATTGAAAACTGATAATATTGTACTAATTTTATGATTTATTAGTTTAATAGACGTATTTATGCATTTAGAACTTAATAATACTCGAATTTTCTCTAAAATTATGATTTCAGTGTTATCGTCAAAGTTGATTATCAACAAAGATGATAACTACAGAGAAAAAAACTGTAATTTTTCGGCAATATAGGATATTGTAGCTTTACAAGTATGCATTTTTATTTATAGAACATTTATGTATAATAATAAAAAAATCATAAATTTAATAATGTATTAGGCAAGTATTTATGTTAATAATAGCAAATTTATACTAATTGTCGGTAATATTAACGTTCTTCAATTACCTCCGGGTCCTTGATGCCCTTTTTATATCGCCAAAAATTTGTCCAGGATTGACAGTCAACTTTGACGATAATACTTTTTTTGACGAAATCACAATTCTTAAAAAAAATCGAATATTATTGAGTTCTAAAGGCATAAATACGACTACTAAATTAATTTCTATTGTCAGAAATTTGAAAAGTGGGGATAGTCCTCATTTATGGCTCGTGCACACAGAACGCGGCAACGCCGAAGTTGGCGCGATAGCCAATCAATGTTTCGCTTGCTCGGAAGTAATAGATATATAATTACCACCGTGCGACAAAAGTTGAACTCAATCCAACTTTTACCGCGCGCGGCGGAAGTAATATTACATCATTTCTAAAAGTTTTGCGTGGTGAGGCCGACTTAAGAACATAAAATTATTGATTAGTGCGATAACTTCTATCGCGCGGCAAAAGGAGACGCGATAATCAATGAACACATTAGGAGTTGTAAGCTTATTGGCTACCGCATCACATTTTGCCGCGCAGTAAGTGTTTTCGCGTCCAGTGTGCAGAAGCCATTAGAAAAGGACGCACTTATTTATTGTAGTCTAGAACCTACAATATAATAAAAGTACGGACATGGGAGTAATTTAATGGACCAATCACTACGATCAATTATTGGTCCGCTAAATTGAGGCAAAAGCGGAACCCGTATGTACTATCAGTATAGTACACCATTTATACAGC